TGTGTGTGTGTGTGTGTGTGTGAGCCTTTCTCTGAGAGGTCTCTGATTCCCAGACTACTACCATCCTTGTGATCTTCTCCCACCATATCTGGCTCTTTTCCAGCATTTTCAATTTTACTGAATTATTCCACCCTCCTGCCAGCTGTGCTAGTTGATAAGTTTGGCATTCTCCTTGACATTTTATGCTCACCTTCCACCCATACCCAGCCTCCACGACTTCTGTGCCATTGACTCTTATGTGCATTTCCGATGGACCCGTTTCTCTTTCCTGCTCTACATCCCTTGTCAAAGCTGCCGTCACAGTTTCCCTAGAGATTATCAGTGCCTCTTAGTCACCTTCTGTAAATTTACTCACTTCCTCACTTGCAAGCCATTCTTGCACACAGCAGTAAATGTAATCTAAACAGTAGCTGGATCACGTTATCCTCCAGCTTAAAGCTTTCCAAACACTCCTCACTGCTCAAAGAGTAAAATCCACCCTTCCCCATTGCTTAACCAAGGCCTTGCTCGATCTGATTCTACTTTTGCACCTCCTCTCCAGTTTTAGTCTTTGCAAATTCAACCCATACCGTTTGTTATAGTTTGTAAATTCATGTAAATATATTCCATAAGCTCCTTTTCACTAGACCAGACTCTCCTTTCAGGGGAGGTAGAGCCAATTTCCAGCATAGCTCCTGATACTCAGTTTTTATTAAGGAGTACATGAATGAATGGTCAAAGAAAATGGATCCATTATGGTGAATGGATCCATTATGTGTGCACTCCAGCCTTAGTGGTTCTGATTCAGTGGCTCCCGGGTGGAAACTGGACATCTTTTATTTGTTAAGGCCGTCATAGATGACTCTGCATGATTTGGGTTGAAATTCCTAGAGCAAGACATCATAACGACAGTTTCGAGCACAGATGTTTGAGCTCCAAACACAGCAAGGAAAGGGCAATGTAAATGTTAATAAACATTTTCAGTCACTTGGCAAATCCTTTTATTAACTGTCATTCCTCCAAGTAACTCAGCATAAATACAGTGACACTTTTATATCGTGATGTTTCCATTGTGATTTTTGTTTATTTTTACGCTTTTTTTCCAATTTCATGATAAAAATAAAAGAGGAAGAAGACTGATTAATACTTTATAGATAATAGATTCAAGTGTATTCAGGTTAGAAGGGATTCCAAAGGATGCCGGAAACATGGGACTTTTCTCTTGTGTGAAAGACCAGAGGCAACCCCAGTCACTATACATGTGGAAGTGGCTTTTATGTAACATAGAGCTCTAGATTGGGAGTCACAAGGAACTCAGAGATCCTAGGCTTCGTGTGTCAAACATAGAGAGCAATGGACCAGGAGTCACAAGATGCTCCAGGTCCCTAGACCTCATGCACAAATGCAGAGAGCACTGGATTGGGAGTCTCTAGTGATTCAGCTGAGGGACTATGGGAAAAATCACAGTTCTGTAAGTGTGTGCTGTAAGTAGATGGACCAGAAGGGGTCTGAGGACTTAGAGGGCAGCACAGGAGGCAGAGGTAGAGGTGCAGTAAGGCTCTGAGCTAAGTGACAGAGGTAGACTCCAGAACAGCCATGTGCCACGGACAAATGCTTGTGGCAGTTAGAGAAGATTCAGTCTGTGTGGGGAGCTCTGGAGAGCACTGGGTCTTAGGGTCTCTAGTGCTGTGACAAAAACACCATGACAAAAAAAAAAAAAAAAAAGCAAGTTGGGGAGAAAAGGGTTTATTTGACTCACACTTCCAAATTATAATTAATCATAGGAGGAAGCCAGGATAGGAACTCAAGCAGGGCTGGAACCTGGAGGCAGGAGCTGATGCAAAGTCCATCGCCTGGAGGGGTGCTGCTTACTGGCTTGCTTCCCATGGCTTGTTCACCTTTTCTTTTTCTTTCTTTCTTTCTTTCTTTCTTTCTTTCTTTCTTTCTTTCTTTCTTTCTTT